AAAATTTATTTTATATTTATTAATTTTTTAAAATGTTTTTGTATTTTGTTATAATTCATTTATTTTAAATACAAAATGCAGTAATTTAATTTATTAAATAAGTAGTATTCTTTGTAGTATGTCTGTTTAGTAGTTAAATTATTTTGACTCAATTGAATTTGAATATTTTTGGATTATTCCTTTATTTTCCCCACTCTAAATAAGTATTCTGTTTTTCTGAATGAGCCAGACTAATTGACCAAAGTAAATATATTTATTTTTTGAACAAGGGTCTGAAGTAACTAGATCGCGCACATTTTAGTTGGACTAACTTTTCAGCAAGGGTGAAACTGAAATGCAAATGCTATAGAACAAAGATATGTAGATATAGAATTTACTTCCCCCCTTTCTCCTCTTATTAAATATTTGTTAAAAATTAATTTTTTATACAAATAAATATTAATGTAAGTTAAATATTAAAAATACTAATTATAAAAGTATTTGGGTATATGCACCAGGCTCCTTTCAGAGTTCAGAGTAGGATACCCCCTATGAGCACCTCTGCCACCCATAAAATGACTTGGTATTTAATTTTGCCAGAGTTGGGAGCTGGAGTTGGCCTACTAAAATTATCAGGAGTCGGAGTTGAAGTTGTGTTTTTTTAACCGACTCCACAGCTCTGGTGCCAGTGCACCCCAGCACAGCACAAAATAAAAACAATAAAGTGCCAATTAACATATTTACATTATTGGTATATTTTTTGGTAAATTTGGTACATTTACATACATACCAAAAATTATTAAATAGTTGACTTATTTAATAATTTTTAACTAAGTAACTTATTTACTTAGTTGTTGTACATTGTAACAAATAAAAATTTCAATACATGATCAGGATATGCCACACTTTGAAAATGCCACCTGAGGCAACTGCCTTCATCCTAAGTGCCAGCCCTGCTCTTCACCCTCCTCACCAACTTACACAAAGTGAAAATAAATTTGCATTTATTTTATCTATTTATGATATTTAGATTTTTTTATGATATGCATGATAGGCTTGTAAACTCCTTGTTAAATTTGTGTCACACTCTAGTTAAAATACTTTCATAAGTTATTTTTGAGATTTGGAAAAGATTAATCTAATTTATATTATTTCTTATGGGAAAAACTCTTTTGGTAAACAAACAGATTGGCACTTGAACAGCCTTCTGGAATAAATTAAGTTCAAGTACCAAGGTAACACTGTAGTAGTAGGCATGACAATTTCATTTGGGTTATGAGAAGCAGTCCTTTACATCACTTACGTAAAATACCCTTGTAACTCTTGCATTCATACAGATTGTTAAAGTGGAGCTGACTTTTGTAATATGCTTCACTTGCAGAGAGGCTTGGATAATGGGAAAGTTTTATGTATATAAGTCAGAACTGCCTCTTGACTCACTGGCATAATATTCTTGGCTTTGCAGTTATCACAATATAATCAGTACAGTACATTGTGAATAGATTTAATCCTGGTTGAATATACTTGAAAATTGGGGATTTTGATTCCTGTGTACTTACGTACTATATGTAGAAAGAAAAGTACAATGTGATCATGAACATGTTTCTTCAGAAGTAACAAAGTTTATTTCCTGGTACATGGCATTCCCATTTATCTATTAAGTTTCTAGATTGATCTTTCAGAACAGCTTGATGAACATGAGTGCTATCAATCCATAAAGTATTCAAAAACATTGATTTGCACACTTAAACATCTGTGACTCTCTTTTAACCCTTATGCAATCATTTATCAATACATCATCAAGCAGGTAATTGTGACAATCACTTGACGATTCATTGTCAGTCTAAAAATGTACAATTTTTAAAAAACATTCCATTCATAGATGGCACTACACTATGTATGTTATTCTGTACACTGTGTTTCATATATTTACTACCAAATGGCAATTTATTTTTTAGTATGCCTATATATAATTTTTCAAAGCAGGAAATTTCTTTGTGTCAAAAAAATGTTTGAGTTTGTTTTGATCAAAACATACAGAACAAAATGGCTGTTCATGCAGGGTTACTTATGAAAATGAATTATGTAAGTGAAAAATTTTATCTGTGATCAAAATGAAAAAAATTAATTATGAAATTATAAACAACATTCAAACTGTCATTTCTAACACACTATTTTTTTTTGGAAGAAATTTTTTATGCTAGCAAAAAGAAACTTTACTACCATAAACAATGAGAAGTAACGTAATAGCTGAATTTTTCATGAATTTTTAAATAAGTGGAATTATCTTGAATGAGTAAAGTTTGCAGTGATTGTTTTGAACAATAAACAGTGAAACATCATGACTTTAAAACAGTTAAATACTATGCCCTTGACTCCTGCCTTCTAGACACTACTCTTTTTGTACCAACTCATCATTTCATTCACACTGATAGACTTTACAGAACCAGCAAGAAATGCATTTTGAGCACCCCAAGTTATATGAATATAAAAACTTTTGTAACATGTGTTTTTACCAGCAGTATTTATTAAAAGTGTGGCACTTCCATTGATTATGAACACAACTGTAGATGTAAGCTTGGCTGCTAAAGTCTTTCCTAAGGATGAAGTGTACATTTCCCTCCCCCAAATGTTACACCATTTTTCTTAAGCTTTTTTTTTGGTCATTGTAGAATCAGCATATTTGCATTTCACTCTTTTTGGCTCTTCATATAAAATACATTATTTAGCAATGACAATGCATTTCTGTCTAAGAAGCAGCTTTACTATTTTGTCCAATGCTTGAAGTGCTGAGAATTGAGTTAATGTTTGTTTTTGATGAGTTTATCTTAAATAAAAGGACTTTCAGCACAAATTCTACCTGAAAAACAATTACAGTGGTACCTCGGTATATGTTTGCTTTAGAATACGTCCAATTCAGAATACATCCTGTTCGGATGAAACAAATTTTGCTCGGTATATAATGTAATTCAATTATACGCGCTATCTATGAACAAGTAGCACTATTGGTGTATTAGACCAGATGTTCATGGTGCAACGGTTTATAACTTTGTTAAATTTCTTCTGATTTTAATTTGTAAGTAAAATTTTATTATTTTTATTAATGATGAATTGCAAAAAGGCAAATGAAAAGCAACAGAAGACTAAAAAAAATTACTAGAATCACAATGGAACTGATAAAAGAGATTGTTGAGAAATATGAAGGTGGCATGCGTGTTCGAGATTTTAACTATTGCATACCTTATTCCGAGAACGACAATATCGACAATCGTGAAAAATAAACACATTATTAAATCTGCTAATGTGGCAGAAGGGGTTAATGGAGGAAAGAGAAAGGTTGCCAGTGAACCTGACCTTTGTCTATGGTTACCATTCAGTACCCTGTCTCCAACACTCACTCCCCTATCACCCACTTGCTTCTTTTTGCCCTCCTTAGATTTACTAACTGCCCAGAGGAAGGGCACAGTAGCACCCACTTTGGAAACCACAATGTTAGACTCGTGAAGATCATAAATTTTTACCATATTGATAGCAACATCATAAATAATTTTGCTATCTAGTTCATTTTGGTTGAAGACTATATTAACTAAAAACAATCTCAGCTTACAATACCACTTTTTAAATACAAATAAATATTTAAATAAACTTACCTTACTTATCATTAGGAACATAACATTTATCATTTTAGTTTGTTAATTCTAGAATCCAACATGAAATCTTCATAAATGCTAACATTTTTCATTGAATATTGTGATTTTACATTTGAGAAACCATCTTGGGTACTGACTTTGTTTTGTATGGTGGAAGAATGGTTGGTTCAAACCCTTCTTTAATTAGTTTACAGTGCTATATAACTGCCCATAAATAATCCAGTAACATCGTTTATTCTGTCCTCATTTTGTACCTCATTATGTTTTTGATTTTGTACCTCATTTAATGCACTAACTCAAAAACAGTAAATAGTGAGTTAGTTCACCATAGTTTAGGATGACTTATATTAAGGATATACTATATAATCAGCAAGAATGAAACCAAATAAATAATAATTTCTTCAAAAACACACCCTCAGCAGTAACTTAAAATCACATACATTATTTTTGCCAAGGAAACAGTTTTTAATCACTAACATTTTCAGCTTGTTCAACAAATCATCCTCAAGCATTGAATTACATTCTATCATTAGAATATAAAGTTCTAATGGAATCTTGAACACAACAAATTCAAATATGAATAAAAGAATAAAATAATAGAAACACCACAAAAAAATATAAATATATAATAAATGATGAAACATAAAATATAAATACAATAAATATATAAAAATTTACAAGTAAGTAATGAAAAGCAAAATGTAAAAAAATTGTACAGAAAACATTACTTCTTTGACAGAAGGTCAATCTATAAATTAATATGTCTTAGTTTTTCAGTAAGACATACCAATTTTTCTTCATATTTGAATCTGTTGTGTTCAAAATTGCATTAGTACTTTATATTGTAATGACAGAATGTAATTCAATACTTGATGATGGTTTGTTGAACAAGCTGAAGACATTTGTATTAAAAACAGTTTCCATAGCAAAAATAAGGTGTGTGTACAATTTTAACAAATAAAGTTTAATACATTTTTTATTAAAATAATTTTATAGAATAATTGTAAAATACACTTTATGCCAACATTCAAATAAAATAAAATAATTAACACTTTAGTGTTGTGGATTACTATCACAATTTTTATAATTTAGACATATTTGCTAGCACTTTCGATAGCTTACAGCCACATCATCAGGCGAAAATTTAAAAAATTATATATCAAAAAATTTTTCAGAATAAAATAATAGTTTTCCAATTGTAATAAAACAATACATGGTGAATTACTGTTTATTACAAAGATAAATTTTTAAGCTCAGTTAAATGTTAAATAATAATGAAAAATTTTAAATTTACTTTTTATTTTCATATTTCAAGGTAATTAAAAAGTAACATAATATATAAAAACATCAGAAAAGAATCAAACCAAATACCTTTTTGTTCAATACATCGCTAAATCTCAACTGCTTTAATAATTTCTTATGCTTGTCAGTGAATCGATTATCTTGTTCAGCACTTGTTCCCTGAAAGTAAATATATTCACAAATTCAAACTTGCATTCATCTTGACATGCTGATATTTATACTTATTTTTACAATTATGAAGTACAAACTGCAAAGTATGATAGTTTTCAACTACCCATCAGTACTATAGAAATGAGTAAGCTTTGAAGCAGAGAAAACTATTTTTCCAGAATTCCTCTCATACATCATATTGCATTGACATGCATTGATCTCTTGTATAGACAAGAGATGTCAATGCAATAATTATTATTTGGAAAGCTGAATTGGACAGTTTTTAACAAGGCTTAACAACAATCCACTTGGTCTCACACTTGAAACTAGAACAGGAGAGAGATATATCAATACTTTTTTAATTGAAACATTACACTTAAAGGAAGTGAGATCCTTTCTCGACATATACCATTAGCCAGGATATCACCCCTTCATTATTAGAGCCAGTTCAAGTGATCTCTATACCTATAAACTTATGATCTTTACAGCATTAATGAAGAGGGCTTTTATCCATTGCTGCAACATATCAGACACATTAGAAGAACTTAAGTAAGTAAACAGCAGTAAGGCAAGAGTATCAAGGAAGGATGGTACAGTAATTTACACAGAAATATGTAAATCACCAGATCACCTACCCTTAAAAAGGTTAGACAGCAACAATATACAACTACAAATGTCTTGAAACATTTTGATAGTTGATTAAAATATGACACTGGCAGGAACATATAGTAAATATACAGAATCCCTATAACATACAATAGAATATACAATTCTACAAACAGATCCCTAGTAAACAGATTGAGAAAACAAATATGAATAAACCAGTCAATACATTAGATTTGTTCACCACCAAACTGGGAGTAGAGGCAGAGTTGGATACAGCTTAAATGATATACATTGCATTTACAACTGACCATAATAGAACATTAAAAACTTTCAAGACATTTAAAGCAGCAAACAGAAGAGTTACATCAATTACAATGATTCTGATTCTTTCTTGGAAGATCATTGTACGAGGCCCCATAAAAGAAGTGAGAGGAAAGTGGCAAACAAGGAAAGCACAATTGTATTTAGTTTAGTGATAGGTGGATAGTTTAACATTAATAATTAAAATATCATACAATCGACCCGCTATAACACGGGTTCCTATAGTTCGGATTCCTAAATCATGGCGAAAAAATTGTGACAGTATTCGTACAAACATGCTAAAAAAAAAACTCCTATAATTTGGTAAATTGTCATCGCCAACTCGTGTCGAACAGGATTGCACAAACCGTTGAGTTTAAACAAGCAGCAGACCTACCAAAAACCATTTATTATTTAACGTCCATAAAAATTATATTTATATTAATGATGTCTCTAAAATTCAGCAAATTTTTCGCAAAAAAAAAAATAATTTATCGGGAAGCACGCGAGCACCATTCGATGACAATCTCCACGATAAAAACAAGCTTAAGCAATGGCATAGTTGAATGGTGCACACTCGGTAAGTAATCCTACAATTTTTTGTTTATAGCATAGTTTATATGGATTATTCCCAAAAATTATATGTATTTTGTAAATGTTGAGTTGAATTAGTCTAGAATCGATTAATTTTATGGAAGAAACCTTTCAAACAGCTGTAGTCCGTAAACTGCATACGTGCTGGGCTNTCAGAATCTAATTGAAACAATGCCTAATCGAGTATTTAATGTAATTAAGTTAAATAGTGGTTACATTAGCCATTAAATTGTAAGAAAACTTTGCAATTTGAAACCTGTCCGGATAAATATGTAACAGTTTTTTGTACAAAATTTTCAAAAATATTATTTTCAGTGACAAAATGTTAATGTTTGATTAAAGTTCTTATTTTGCAGTGTGGAAACATGTAAATCCATGATATTTTTCATAAAACATTTGTCACTTATTGCAGCAAATTTGGGTTTCACTTTAATTTTTTTGTGTCCGTATAAATTTGAAACGCACCTTAAATGATGACTCATATTGTCACACACTGATACAGTTAAGGGAGGCAATTTGCAAAAAACAACCCGGACTTCTCTCAATAGGTTGCTGCACAACAATGCCCAACCACATGCTGCCAAGAACATGATTGAATTGTTATGTCACTTCAAGTAAGAGGTACTAGAACATCCTCCCTATAGCCCCGACCTGAAACCGTGATTTTCATCTCTTCGAACCATCGGAGAACACCTAGGTGGTAGGCAATTCAAAACTGATATGGAGGTTCAGTAAGCCATCACGTGGCTGAAGGGACTTGATGCAGATTTCTTCTCTGCCAGCATCATTGCCTTGGTATATTGTTGAAATAAATGTGGATGAACATGGTGACTATGTTGAAAAATAATATGTACCAGTGCCATAATAATCTGTATCACTATATCTGCCTGTGAAATAAAATTTGTACAGGAGAGCTCTTATTACCTTATTTTTTGAATCACCTACATATATGGGTATTCTCAGCTGAAACAAAGAAAGAGTGTCAGTCTTCTAAACAATAACATCTCTCCTTCCTCTTCACCAGAGCCAGTACATCAAAAATTGCTACCTGAGACAAGGCAAGTTTATGTCGCCCTTTTATGCAGTTAGCTAGCAAGATAAGGGCAAAGGAAAGGCAAAAACACTTTTTATAGATATTTGGAAGTAGAAATAAAGATTTTTATAATATTTTATATACAATTATTTATTACAGACAAAAAACTTTTCTCACATAAATACAAATACATAATACATGCAGTTTTAAACAATATATTAAAACAGCAATATTATCTAAAGTGACTTCTAATATGAAATTTTCTGTTCAGTCAATAATATATCTAGTTATGTGAACCTTCCCTGCACCATTGTTGAAAGTAAATAATTTTTATCTATTTTAATTTTGAAAAACTGTTCTCCACTAACAATGGACATGGAAAGGATTAAAAAAATTCTCAATAATATAAAAACAATTGAAAATTTCTATAACATGCTTCTTGTGTAGTTTAAAATGTATTGGTGAGCAGTATAACAGCCTCCTTATTTCTACACTGCCATCAGACACAAGACCAACCTCAATATATCAATTTATTTTTAATAGTATGCATTTCAAACCTACAATCCCACATCAACTTTTTTACAAATTTTCTGCAAAATTAACATATTTATACATCAGAAGCATATAGTATTTATTCAACATTAAGAAAATGAATACAAACTTAACCAACACGTTAATATTCGCTGAGAAATTATTTTTATTAAACAAATGCTTTCGATCTATTCAATAGTTCATCATCAGGTTTAAATAGAATATTGCTTAAATGGAACAAGTTCAAAAATTCAAAAAATACTGTTAGTCAATAACATATCAACTAACTAGAATAACAGATATATAGTAAATGATACAAAAAATGTAAAAATAAATAACATAATACTCGTAATAAAAAAACCTCACTAAAACTCATAAAGAGGGCAAGGAAATAAGGCCTATTGTGGAAAAAAGGAAAGCACCTACGTTTTTCCTAGAAAAAAAATTGCAAGAATACATCTCCTCCCTGATGGAAAACAATGATTGGGTGACAAAAGATCCTGTTATGGTGGTTAAAGAACTGCAAGGCATTACCTTAATGGATGAAGAAGTAGGAACAGTGTTAGATTACAAAAGTTTGTACCCATCTATTAAGATGGAATCTTGTTTAGAAGCACTATTAGAGTTCTTGTTTAGAGAAAACCCAATGTTAACACAACACAGAAATGAGGTTATAGAGTTGGCTAACCTTGTATGTTGTGAATCCTTCTTTGCTTTCGAAGGCCAGGTATATAAACAAAATAGAGGAGTTTCAATGGGAAGCCCAATTTCAGGGCTCCTTTGCGAGCTTGTTGTTAGAAAACTAGAAGAAAGAATCCTTTGTAGCTTCAAAAGGAATATCATTTATTACAAGAGATATGTAGATGATGTATTTATATTATGGAAAACAATCGATTAATTGCTAACTTTGTAGATAGAATTAACGAAAACAAAGATGGCCTTAGCCTGAAACTAGAGCAAAAAAGCTCCAAAATGGTACATTTCTTAGACATTAATATCATTTTTAAAAAAGAGTGTATATCCACTAACGTATTCGTTAAACCAACGCATAGCCCACTATATATCCCTGCAAGCTCTAATGATCCTTATAGGTATAAGTTAGCAGCATTTTGAGCATTGATTAGGAGGGCTTATATATACTGTGAAAACGTTATACACCGTGATACAGAGATAGAAAGAATTATACAGATAGCAGGAACATTAGGTTATAAGAGAAATGTTATAAAAGGAATTATTAGAAAATTTGAAGCCAGTAATGATAAAGTCACTAGACAAGGTCCATCTAAGTACACAAAATTTACATATAATAAGTATTTAGGAGGGATTATGAAAAAAATTGCAAATATGAAAAATACAAAGGTGATATTAAAAAGAGCTCCGAATTTGTATAAAATACTCAAACGATAAAGGGGTTGTTAAAAAAGAAGATAAGGCGGGTGTATAAGATTCCCTACGAGAACCAGCTAATAGGAATAATAAAAAAAATTATGTAGGGGTTACTACTAGAAACCTAGGTGTAAGGATCAAAAAACNACAGTGGACCCCCCTATAACATGGGTTCCTATATTTCGGATTCCTATATCACAGCGAAAAAATTGCGACAGTATTTGTACAAACATGCTAAAAAAACTCCTATAATTCGGTAAAACGTCATCGCTGACTCGTGTCGCAACAGGATTGCTCAAACCGTTGAGTTTAAACAAGCAGCAGACCTACCAAAAACCATTTATTATTTAACGTCCATAAAAATTATATTTATATTAATGATGTCTCTAAAATTCAGTGAATTTTTCGCAAAAAAAAAAATAATTTATCGGGAAGCACGCGAGCACCATTCGATGACAATCTCCACGATAAAAACAAGCTTAAGCAANGTCTCTAAAATTCAGCAAATTTTTCGCAAAAAAAAAAATAATTTATCGGGAAGCACGCGAGCACCATTCGATGACAATCTCCACGATAAAAACAAGCTTAAGCAATGGCATAGTTGAATGGTGCACACTCGGTAAGTAATCCTACAATTTTTTGTTTATAGCATAGTTTATATGCATTATTCCCAAAAAATTATACGTATTTTGGAAATGTTGAGTCGAATTAGTCTAGAATCGATTCATTTTATGGAAGAAACCTTTCAAACAGCCATAGTCTGTAAACTGCATACGTGCCAGGCTGTGATTGGTTGGACTCGTAAAAGCTGGATTCATAAAACTCTGAACGTGTTATGGGGGGGTTGACTGTATTTACTTAAAGTACAGTATTATAACACTGTAGATTAATGTACAGCATATTCCACTGTTTATTGAGTTTGTAGTTTTATGCCATGTATGTAACCATACTTTTTTTTGTATGCATAATGACTACACATCAAAGTCAAAAGAACAAATACATTTGGTTCTGCAATTTTATAAAATAAAGTTCTAACACAAAACTTTTCTTACACTTATACTGGTATGTTACACACAAAATTATAATGGACCCTTATTTTTTAAATATAAAGTATGTCATGTGCAAACTATATTATCTAGGGAGACTGTGCGACTTTATCATATCACAGTAGAATTGAAATGGAGACAGAAAGAGGCAATCCTTACACATTTGCTGACAGAGGTAATCTAAGAACAAAGCAATCGGCATCAATTGCTTTGTTCTTGTGTTTTATTTGTTTTTCACACCAATTTTACAAAAAGTGCATACAATGTTTTTGTTATTTTTATTGTTAGGGACAACCTACCAATTTAGGTTGTCCCTAAATTGTTAGGCACACTCAATCACATCAAGGAACACAAATATTATCACTTTGACATCACTGTATCTTGAAAACAAAGTTAGAGATCCCTATTTTTTTTTAAATTATATTTTTGGATTCCTCACAGCAATTAATGGAAAATGACAAAGTTTTATCAAAATCAACCAATCAAAATTTGAAAACTAATAATTCTGTATTCAAACTCTTATTCGAATTTTATTCCAAAACAAAGATCCATCAAAGAATCGTTAAAAAACCTGATGGACTCAGGAGTTTGAAAACATTCATTTTTGTTTGTTTTCACCATCACACATTGTACACACTGTAATTAGTTCAGAATACGTGATTAACAATTCTGTAAACCACACACAGGAGACTTTGCTAATACTCCATCTCAATTAACACATCTTCAGGCAAACAGAATGGAAATGGGCAGTCCTAAACACAGGTTAATCTGTCAGCATATTTGACTTGATTAAATCTAAGATGTTTTTATTTCTTCATCCTATCTCATATGTACATAAAACCAAAATTAACATTTACTGAATTCTCTATTCTGTGCTTGGAACATGTATTCCTGAAATTAGCAAAAATCTTTAGAAAAAAGTATGTTTTGGATATATATCCCCAATCCAATCTTAGGAAGTTATTAACAAATGACAGGGACAGTTTTGCTTTATTACAAAAATTTGTAGTTTATAAAATCTCTAGATGTTAAGGCTGGTAGTGCTAATATATCACTTTTAAAACAATTTCTTCTATTTCATAATTATCAACTGTTATTTCAACCTAAATGTGCAATTAGGACTTGAGAAATGTTACAAAAATTTTCTAAGCAAAACTTATCAAGAACCAAATACCAGTACTAAATTTTCCATGTTTTCTCAAAGAACAGACAGTAATCATATAACCCTTAATATTAACATGCTATTTAAATAAATTCTTTTGTTATTAAAAATAACAAAACAATTTATTTAAATATGAAAAGTGAATTTTTCATACATTTCAAATATCTAAGTAATACATTTTTGTGTGTGTTCCTTTTAATTCAAATGTGTCTATTTCCAGTACATCATACAGTTTTTTTAATTCTAACCTAAAGATTAACTGAAGTGGTTAAAAACAGTTAATTCTCAGTTTCTTATACTATTTGCTAGTTATTAAAGGTTGTCTGTACCTCTTAGAAGTATTTCTTCCAATTTGCTACTCATTGCTGAACAGAAGAATAACAAACTAAATATAACACTACCAGATAAAATTATGCTACATTTAGAGAAAATGTTGGAAACTTTATCTTTAATTATTTGCTTCAATTATAGAATAATTTATGGAATGTTTTGAAACATTGTCTTTCAGATAATTTCACAGATAAAAATCATGTTATGTTAAAATCAGACAATACTGGAGGCCACACTAGTTTTTTGATCAAGCCAAGATAAAGATAACCACAATTCTGTTGTCAAAATATTTTATTTGCCCGAAGAAGAACCATTAAAGGTTTGAAAACGTTTGAGGAAGTCCATTTATTTGTTTTTTGATGTTAATTTCACACCAGTAACAGGCTTTGAGGTACATAATTATTTTTGTTTTAATCTGAAATTTAAAAAAAACAGTTCTATGCAATCAATTTCCATTGTTCTTTCTATATATTCTGAATACGTTTGAATGTAACAAGTGAAAGCACTTAAATATTTTATTTTGTAATTTGAGTATTGTTGGTAACATGAAAGTAATTTGTTAAACATGTTAAGAATATAATTAGTAAAAAGATCTGAAATGTTAAAACCCATCTTATGTGAAATAACAGGAATGAAATATAATAAATTTTTAGACTATATTTCAAATAACTGAAATTATTTATATTCAAGAAAAAGCCATGCCATATATTTTTAAAAAATGAGTTATAGTATAAAAACTATGAAAGAATTTATCAGACTAAAGAAGAAAATCATTCAACTGACTCAAAATTGTTATAATTAGGGCAACATTAAAGCTAAATTAAAATACAAAAAAAGGATTATTATTTTTGTTTGCCAGTACTACAACTAATTTACTTTAAAACAAAGAAGTGTCAGACAGGCCCAAACTAAGCTCATACGTAAATGTAGCTAGTAGTATTTTTAATACTCAAATAAGCATTAAACAATCTAAAAAATAAAAAGTTAGAATTTTTTGTTTACTCTTTCCACTTCTTGCACACCAAGAAGTTTTTTAATCAAGCCCATCATGGGTATAGCCGTGTCCACAATAGGGGCGGTAAGATGACAAGAGACCAGACACAGAACATCCAGACACCAAGATAAACCATTCACCCCAAAAAATTCCTGGGTTTCTTCACCCATTCAGATCCATTCTCCAGAGTGGTAAGACAAACTGTTTAGCCATCTATCCATCAATATTAAAGTGAAAAATTACAGATCTAATCCTTGTATAAGTTTACTAAGATATAGTATATAGTATTGCTTCATAAATTATAAACATTTCAACCAGTTTCAGTTTCAGGCAGATCACTTAACAGCATCTTCAAATTTAATAAGCTGGTTCTGATTCTTGCACATTAATTTTTCATAACTTAACAAAAAATTAATAATTCATTTAAAGAAAAAATTTTAATTTAAAATCTGTTAGGGACTCAAACAATCGATATTTAATCACATAGCAGTTTTTATAACTCTACAGTACACATGTGGGGGGCTCCTATTGCAAACTGCTTCCATAGTCGATCACATAAGACAAAATCCATGCATAATCAGTCCAGCAGAGCAAGTTTAGACAAGCCATCTTCACGAGAATCATCGCAAGACGGCACGCAAGAATAACGGGTCACCTCACTCACGGCGACGGGAAAAATTATTACACGACATCCCATCCGACGGGAGACCACGTGGCAAGACATCATTGGATCTTTATAAGATAACAAGGGCTCCTCGTTTCAAGCAAGTATTTTCCATAAAATGCCCATCCTTTCTCAGTGGCCACATCCGACAGGCTTCCGACAAAGACCCAGTCGTTGGCCACCACAAACGGCCCAGCAACCTACCAGTCGACTAACAAACAAGCAGCCAGCGATCGTTTTTTACATAACAAAAAAACACATTTTTCCATAACAAGCATAGAACAAACTTTATCTTCACACATAAATTTTGCTTTTCACCTTATTACACACAAAAAAGAATCAAAAGTCCAAAGCGACTCTAAACAGTCAACCACCGGTGCCATCATCCTACATATAAAAGTCAGATTGGCACACATTAATTCAAGCATTAGATACTTTACACAAAATTACTCAAAAATAGCAGTTATTAAATTTTCTTACTTTTTGTACAGTAAGAACTTAACCCAACATTATTAAACTTAAAACTATATTTAGTATCAGCATTTTTACACTACACAGAATAGATTTCTCTACAATCTCAGAAAACTATAAATTAAACAATCAGGATTTTTATACTTCCAATTTAATACATTTTCTAATATTAATACTTGAAAATCCCCTAATTCCGTCTGTGAACAATTGAAGGTAGCCAGTCCGACTTTAGAGAGGCTGGTTTCTTTCTTATAGAAATACTAAAAGCTTTTAAATCACGTTTTATAACCCGGCTTTATTGAAATGATTATTTTTAATGATTTTCAATACTTATAACAATCAATTCACTTCATTTAATTATATTAAGACACTTAAAATCAAAAGCGAAATAAGCAATTTACTGAAAACCACTTCGGCCAGTATTTTTATTCCTGCAAAGTGTTTCACCAAATCGATGTAAACGTAATCATAAATTTCAAAACTTTAAATTAATTACTCATTACAATCGAAAAATCGGAATGAAACCATCAAATGTAATAAGAAAATGATAATCGTTTATTTTACAAATTCGATTCATTTTAAAATAACGATTTCAAACATTTGTAATTGACTGGGACGAGAAGTCGCCATCTTGTTTAGCCGCACAAAAGACAAAACAATCGGTCCAACCATTTTATCATCTTATTCCCGATATTTATCGTTGTGTACAGTTTTAACCTTTCGTATATTAATATTTATATGCTTACACGAAAAAATCCGGCGTCGGTCATATTTTCTTCTCGTCTTTACTTAATCACGTTCGTCCATTACTAGTAACAAACTCGACTGCACAAATACAATCAATAGCGCGCCTGCGCTTACGATATATCACTAATTTCTTCGGGATTGGTCAATTTTTCTACGTTGCCATTTTCTGGTTTAAATAATAATAATAAAACTTTTGTTTATCAATATTTTTAAACGATTTTTTAATTTGGAAGTTTAATTAGTTTGCAATCTATTTATAAATTTCTAAAAACTGGAAGCTTTTTGTTAAAATAATTTTAGCCAAAAACACAGAATGATTTTTCTTTTCTACTCTTTCCGTCGTCTGGGTACTAAGAGCAAAAACCTTATACAAGTGAATTAGCGTGTACCGTAGTGGAGGCAGCGCGAACTAGTGACATCTAGCGGTTTGAGGAGAACAGTAACTCCACAGACTATGTGAAGTCTAACAAAACTTGCAAAAATGTAACGAAATAAATACTCTGTCATTTTTTTGTCTTTATATTATTATCTTAAAACATGGATTATGATTTTATTTAGTAGGAAACGTGAATGGATAGTGATTTAAAGGAAGGAATAACAGCGACAAGACAAATCAAATACAATAAGAGTCACATTTTTTAAATTCAAATCTGAGGTATATAATTGTATTAAATTGAAACAATTTTTTAAAATAAAACATTTTTACAGTAAATTAAAACACATTGAACACAAATATATCATGTATATCAAAATATGATATATGGCATTTCTACATTGAAAGGTTCTTCTAGCTTTCTTTTTTGGGAAGCTGCTTCTCATCACGGTCTTTTCTTTTAACTCTTTCCGCCCTGTGGGCACTAATAGGGCCTCTTTTTGCAAGGCCATTATGGGTTCGGCCAAGCCCACAATGGGACTGCCGGGTGGTGAGGGACGGGGCCCGACATATCCGACCGGAAATCTCCGAAAAATTCCTGGGGATTTTTTCGACCCAGTCGGATTCGAACCCGTGTTCCCCAGGGCTGTAGGCTGCCATCCGGCCGCTCTCATCACGGTCTGTTTGGCATTATAAATTAATAGTGAGGGTACTTCACCGGATCCTGTACTGTATGTAAAACAAGTTTTTAGTCAAGTGCAGGTGATAGGATACTGAATAAAATCTGCGTGTGGACAATTAGCGATAAGTTCAATATTAGATTAGATCGTAACTTCTAATTCGGTGAAAGGAACAAAAAAAATAGATAAAAACACCATTAATTTATATTAAGCGAACAAATAATAAACATGTATTTTCTTAGCACAATGTTGCTGTTGAGAACATATCACACAGGAACACTTTCAGAAAAAAAAGGTTGTGCTAAGAAAATACAAATAATAAACAATTTATATACCCTTGGCTTAAGAAATTTTTGTTTCTAAAATGTTTTTATGTAAAATGGTGGGAACACGCGATATAATTTCTATTTAAATATTTTGGCCCATTTGTTTTCAAAATCTCGTCTAAATCGGTCCTTCTGCACTTAATAACCCACTGAGTGCATTTGAAAATCGATATAAACAAATACGACAACAATATTTTAAAGGAGGAATGTTGATATAAATAAAAACAAACTGCTTATTAATTTACTTACACCCGTTTGTTTTTAGGGAGTCTGTAAAACGACTCGCGATCACTTTCTATCTTGTACAGTAATTAAAACAGCCATACACAGCGCAAATAACACCTCTTCCGGCCATTCTAATTATTGTGAGATATAATAAGTTTAAAACTTTACGTTAATACCCAAAAACGCCTCATACACGCGGTTCAAATGGAGTGAAGTGTAGTTATCTTCTCTAACCACTAGATGGCGGGCAGAAGCTTGTCGCCAGTTTCCAGCCGAAGTTTCCATTATTGTTGTAATAAACTATTTGCTAAGAGCGTCTTTTATTGCCTCTTTTAGCCAGCCCATTATGAGTTCGACCAGGCCATAATGAGGTGAATGGGTGGTAAGAAACGGGACCGAACATATCCGAACTGAAAATTTTCTGGGGGTTATTCGACCCGTTCATATTCGATCCCGGGTTCCCAGAGAGACAGGTTGCCACCTTGACCGTTTAGCCGTCCGGCAGCAAGGACTTTAAACTACAGCCTGAAGATGAGGGACACGAATTTTTTTTTATACAACCAGGATAAGCAGAAGCCCCGTCAGTTCACTCTGTAATTGGTCAAAATTGTCGAACTGTTATCGAAGGGTGCTAAAACTTTTTAATTTTTAACAATGGAGTCGTGCCGGTCATCTATTATCTGCTTTTGGAGGGAAAGTTCTGAACTGAAATAACGAGACTTTCGATTTGCATTTGACGTTCATATGCAGTTCAATCGTTCAGACGTTCAATCAGGCCTTCAGTCCTTAAGGTTTCCATATCTGGTCTCTTCTTTCATCTAACTGAATTTTCGGGATTAAGGAAAGACAGACCTGCGGACAGACACCAGACGGATGACAGTGAGAATTTACAGGTCTACAGTTTTTTCAAATTGCAGCCCAGCAATCATATGGATAAGCCTTCAAGACCTGACTCTTACAAGTTAGATTATAAAAATATTGTTATATTGAGGATTACACTTACCACTTTAAACCAAGGCTGCGGACTCGTTTAAAAAAACACTCGACACCGACTCCTACTCTGATAATTTTAGTAGACCGACTCCGACTCCGGCAAAATTAAATACCAAGTCATTTTATGGGGAGCAGAGGAGCTCATAGGGGGCACCCTACTCTGAACTCTGAAAGGAGTCCGGGGCGTATACCCAAAAACTTTTATAATTAGTATTGACAAGACTATGTCTTGTTTATAAAATCGTACTGCCCGATGTTCTTACCAGCATAGAGGTATGAAGGAGTACGTGTCGAGAGTTGATATTTGACACAGAGTATTAGGTGCCCAAATCATTTGCGCATAAAAAATCCAGACTCGTAGGTACTCGGAGGACCGAGAATCGAGTCAAAATAAAATACAAAATGGCGACCCTCTTCTACAAACGGGCAAAACGGCCATCTCACTCCACCGAAGTCGGGTAGGGGGAGAGTACCACCCGCAGTCGTTCTAAGAAGCGAACTCCGACCTTAGGGCCGAACGCGTAGTTTCTTCTAAGTTAAATAAAATTTGTAATCTAATTTTGTAAATTTGGGAGCGCTTCAAATATGACGTTAAAACGGTTTTATGTCGTTACGAGTGGGTTGTTTTAAACATTATCTAGTATAGTAAAATCATAGGACCGATAAAAATTTGACGTTATACATTAGGATTGTCGTTACATTCGATGACATTATAGTCGGGTTAAACTGTATATTGTTTGCGCAAAATAAAAAAATAATTTCGGACGATACAATAGCCACGATTACTTTTTTCAAAAACGGGAAGTTTTCGTTACGCATCGACAAAAATTCGACCCGGGCCGACACGCAACGGAGAGAAATTTTGAAATTAGATAGGTTAATTTCATCGAAGATGCATCGTGGCCGGCGATCGCGCCCAAAACCGGCGATATCGAAGAAGATAGGAGAACGAGAACGAGACCTGCCTCGAGCATCAAAGAGATTCTGTCTCCGAGACACAGTCTTGTCCCAAATACGGTTTTGCCGTTTTACTTGTTTTTAATATTTAACTTACATTAATATTTATTTGTATAAAAAAATTAATTTTTAACAAATATTTAATAAGAGGAGAAAGGGGCGATAAAATTCTACGGCTACATATATTTGACAGCGTTTGCACTTCAATTTCACCCTTCCAGGAAAATTAGTCCAACTAAAAAGTGTGCGATCTAGCTACTTCAGCCCCTTGTTCAGAAAATAAAAGTATATACTCTGATCAATTAGTCTGGCTCATTCAAGAAAATAGAGTACTTATTTAGGGCTGGGATTATAAAGGAATGATTCAAAAATATTCAAATTCAATTCGATCAAAATAATTCAACTACTAAACTACTAAACACAAATACTACAAACAATACTACTTATTTAATAAATTAAATTGATGCATTTTGTATTTAAAATAAATGAATTATAACAATACAAAAAGGTTTTTTAAAAATTACTAAGTATATAATAAATTTTCTTTCATTTGAATAAAAAAACTAAAGTAAATTTAAAATGCGGGAGTCGGAGTCGACACATTTTTCCCGATTCCTACTCCTCTGGCCAGAAATTCCTCCCGACTCCGACTCCACAGCCCTGCTTTAAACTCTGACCTTACCTTCTTTATAATTATTAGAGTACCTAGATTACTCTAATAATTACTAAAATAAAAGCCGTCGTCTGAGTGTGAATTCCTTATAACTCCTGCAATTTTTTCCAATCCAGACAAAATTTTGGTTATATTTGTTTAATGTTTCGACGGAAAATATAGGCTACTTATTTTGTGGAAATATTAGCTATAGAATAAACGTTTTATCGATTGGGGATCGGTAATCGCTCTTACGATAAAAGTAACCTAGTCACCGAAAAAATAGATGCTTAGGCGTTTTAGCGTAAGAATAAAATTTGTCAGGTAAATTATAAATCTAAAAGAATAAGAACAACTGAGACCCCGAAGACCTTCGTGGCCTGCCGGTGGCCCACCGTTCCCTGAATTCTGGGAGTTCGGTCGTGGGTTCGCGTCGCGCTCGGACGTGCTGGCCACGCGAAGTTTTCCGGGTTTTCTCAACGTCTGCAACGCCTAAATAGGAGCCAATTTCCCTTAAAACACGTATTTCCCTCGCTCACGTATAGCCAAACAGACAAGAAAGCTTCGGCCGGCTCATCGGACGCATGCGTCCATAATCGTTTCTTCGGAGTTAGCCTCAGGTGCTGCGTACTCCTTATGAATAGAGGAGATAGATAGAGAAGGCCTTTATGGCCGTATGGCCGAGCGGTCAAAGCAGGGAGCGGATCTTTATAGGGACTAATAGGGCTTAAGCACTGGGCCCGAAGTGTCAAGGGCCCACAAACAAATTTTTTTAATACTCTTTCCGCCCTGTGGGCACCTAGAAGGCCTCTGATAGCAGGCCCATTATGGGGACGGCCGGATGGCCGAGCGGTCAAGGTGGCAGCCTACTGCTCTGGGAAACCCGGGTTCAAATCCGGACGGGTCAAGGAATTCCCAGGAATTTTTCGGGGGCCATTGCGGGCCTGTCCGAATCATAATGGGCTTGCAAAAAGATGCCATCTTAGTACCCACAGGGCGGTTTATTTGGTTGTTTTGTTATGGCAACGCAACACTTGGGCGATATGCCTAGGGGATGCCTTCCGGGAGATTTTTTAAAGGAAAACTGGCCCCTATTTAAGCATTACAGACGTAGAGAAAATCCGGAAAATTCCACCAGCCCGTCCGAACGAGGCGCGAACCCACGACCGAACTCCCAGTGTTTAGGGAAGAAAACCGATTGTGGGCTCCCACAGGGCGGAAAGAATTTGCCTTGAAGTTCGACATGAGCAATATCGAGTAAGAATGATGCTGTCAAGGACTGCAGAAACAGCATCATAACGACAAGCTCACCTTGAAGCTTTTCCCAATTTTTTTCAATTTCTACTTTTTCATAAAAATATTGTCATGCTTGAAGGGAGAATTTCTGTTAAACAAAATCTAGAAAATAGCTAAATTCGAGATGAAACAATCTAGATTTATATCACTTATGTAATTGCTCAAATCTAGAGGCAAACAAAATAATCTGGATTTAAATGAGAAAAATAAATTCTAAAGTGACAATCCTGTCTTCAATGTTTTGACTTAAAGTAAAATGGCGGTCGATAGTATCCGTCGTTGCCACCAACAGCGCTGTATCTAAGGTCACAGCCACTTTACGTAGTATTTTCTAGCTCACTGAGAACAACAAAGATTTCTACCCCTTCGCCATATTGACCGTAAACTCGGCGCCCTTTCAAAGTGACAGGAAAGCGAGTTAGCAAATCTGCCGAAAGTGATGTATCCGTATCCTAATCTGTGTTTTCAGTAAGTCCATTACCGGTTTGTCCAGGTCTACAATAGTTAGGCGGCCGGATAGTTAGGAACGGGGCCCGACATATTTGGACGGACTACTCCCGAAAAACTCATGGCTTTTTTCTACTCATTCAGGATTAGATGTCAGATTCTTTAGATCGGTAAGCTGTCATCTCAACCGCTTGGCCATCCAGCCGACATCAACTCCACTAACAAAACTGATTGTTTTGGTATCAAGGAGGTGCCAAAGCACCACAAACACTTCTGGATAGGGCCCTATCTTAGTAAATAAGTTGTTTTGTAAAATTTCTGCTTTCCATGATAGGAAAAATAACGACGACTAGTGATAAGCGATATTTCATTACCTGTGATTTAATTAATTATCTTACTGAAAAGTCACCGGCAAAAGTAGTGACATAATATTGTACTTCAATATTCGACAATCGGTGACTTCGTAACTACGGTTAACTTTTGTAACAAAGGATGATATTTCTAGTATCGGTTCTTTACCGCAGTTACAAAATGACAGATCGCCGAATATTGAAACATTATATGACTGGCGTAACCGGTGACATTTCGGTCACGGTGATTAATTAAATCACAGCATTTGAAAAATCTGTCATCACTAACCGGCAGAATTTCCTTTCTTTTCTCGGGCTGTCTCCGAATATGTTGCCTAATACTTAACCGGGAAGCATATTCAGCTTTACGTAGGCGTTATAGATCGAATTTGGAGCGCTTCGCTTTTGAAGGAAACAGCTCTATCATCGCTGTTTTGCTGTTTGTAAACACTATTCATTTTTTTAGTAAAGCAATCTTTAACACGTGACAACGCGCCCTCTATCTCGCGATTTACATTTGTCATCTGGCAACACTATCGTCAATTAGCAAATCGTTTGGCATTCGAAACCACGTGAAGGGAAAGTAAACAAAGTGTCAGTTAATACATCGAATACTTCGATCGGCTATAACTGCATAATAGCAAACTTTAAATATTAAAGATTTTTAATTGTGAATTAGCTATTTAGTATTTTGCCATGGAAGATAAACAAGAAGAGGAGGTGAACATTTTAAAAACATTCCAAAATAATTACTTGATGTAAAATAATTTTCGAGTAATTTCTCATTGGTATTTGTTAATTAATATTTCAGGAAGCTTTAATCGTCATTGAACTGTCCGGAATCGTAGATAATGATTTTTTACATAAGAAAGAAAAAACATGTAAAATGTTGGTAAGTGTCTGAAATTGTTTTCTACAAGATAAATAATTAAGTTTACAAATGTTTAAAATAGCTTCCGATTGGTGTAAATGCTAATGCTATAATTTTTAGTAACTTGTAAAGGTTCTCGAATGAAGACGGCTGTCTCGGAACATGTAGGAAAAATCCTGCGTTAAGAAAAGTTTTAAAAGTCTATTTAGTAGAAAACGAGTCGGTAAGGACCGTACGGCGATAAAAGTCGACGATCGTTGCGCCGTGCAATTTTTCCGACGGCAAAATGTGTTTTGGAAACTGTTGTCGGAGCCTCTCTTTCTGTTAATTTATAGATGTCGCCGAAAATTATTTGGAAGGAAGCCGTTTTAAAGACTAAGAGAAACTGCTTTGTTGGAGATAGGTTTTTGCAAAAGCCTTAAATGTTTTTGATTCTCCTAATTGTCCTAGGTGACTCTGTAAATTAGATAGAATTATTAAAATTAGAATTGGTAAACAATTTAAAATGTTCTATTTGAACTGTTGAGAACTTAATTACCCGACGCCGAAATTTATCGAAAGAATTACTGTTTTTGATCGCCTTTGGTAACGGTCGATTGTTCGATAAATTAATTAAATAATTTATATTAAAAGAACAGTTCGAGCAATGTTGGTAAATAAGCATTCTTGAATACTTATAATAACCATTTAGAATTTATTAAATCCAATTCAACTAACAACAGTTTATGGAAGTCCAAAAGTTTCTATAGGAATGGAATAATAATTGCTATGGCATAATTAAAAAATTATGTCTTAATGCCCACGTGAAAATGGCATTACGATTCTTAAAAAAAGCTTTTAAAGTGTCTTTGTATTTGATTAGATTTCTAGAAGAAAGCTAAGTGATAATCCAATATATCTACTGGTTGTGAAAATCATGAATTACAAAAAACTATGAATTATTTTTTTTTGCTGCCCTTAAATTACATCTGCATTTTTCTTGAAATTTTTACTTCCTTTCCCCCATTGTCCCAGTTTGTTCAAGTTTTTGTAACCCCTCTTTTCTTTGGACATCCTACAAAACTCAACCCCCTTCAAAACCTTATGCATTTTATTATTCATAAAGTGATAAATATAATTTACTTAAATAAAATGGACAACCATTAAAGTTCAACCCCCTTGTCAGACTTGTCATGAACTGCTGGAAAGTCTGTGAGCGTGTGCAGTGGTGCTGTTTTTGGTGTTGTTTTTTTGTGTTGTCTGTCTAGCTGTTAAATAGTATTTATAATATAGTGATGGACAGCACGCTAATCATTTATTACAAAAAACTTTTGCGATATAAGCGTTAAATTAACCACGTATGTCACTAAATTGATGAGCGCTTTCGACGATACACACTTTCGTCTTCTTCAGGTCATTAGAAGATACTGCATAAGAACCTTTTTTGAATACAAAATACCAAGCGATAAGTGAGGCGGGCTACAGCAAAGCCAAATTTAATTACATCTTAAATAAGGTAAAAACATCACTCTTTCCCGCCACCACACTACACCGTCCGAAGGAGTCCACAATAGTCCTGCCCGCGATACCATTTTCTGGCCGTGTCACTCTCCGTATTTGTCGTATTTTTAGGCGACATGATTTGTTTCTGCCGATCTCTCCGCGGCCGAATCTTAGGAGGTTGCTGTCCAACGACAGGGATCCTTTATCCACCATTGAAAAATCGGGGGTTTATTCAGTCCCATTAGAGAATGATTTAGGCGGTCGCACCCATTATATTGGTGCGACAACCAGAATGTTAGCTAACCGTATTTTAGAGCATCAACATTCCATCAGGGACGGCAAAAATGACACAGAACTCGCCAGAATGGTACTACAACACAAGCATACTCCTCTGTGGAATGATGTGGTCATACTAAAACATTGTGACAACAAAAATCTCGTATACATCTGGGAAGCCCTCATCACCAACGCATTAAGGCCCTGCAACACCCCCACACTGGATTTGCCCCCTTTGTGGATCAGCTTGTACAGTTATATAAAACATCGCAATTAAATCCACAATATAGAGGCGTCTAGCGCATGCGCAGTATAAGCGCATGCTTTTTATTTAAATATCTTTTTGTATTCTACCGTTGCTGGTATTCCAAAATGTTAGTTAGGATTGGAATGTTTTTTTTTAAAAATTTTGTATTCAAAAAAGGTTCTTATGCAGTATCTTCTAATGACCTGAAGAAGACGAAAGTGTGTATCGTCGAAAGCGCTCGTCAATTTAGTGACATACGTGGTTAATTTAACGCTTATATCGCAAAAGTTTTTTGAAATAGTATTAAGATTTGTGCTCACGTTCAGTTTTATTAGTATTAAGTAGATATAAGTCTTCCTACTAACAGCCACTTGGCACTAACTTCAACACTTAGCTATTTGTGGCGGCACTTAATCATTGGTGTTCGCTACACTCAGGTTTTCTTTTAGACCCTTTGGGGACTATGGCCTTGCAGCCTAAAAAATCGCACGCCCACATCAAACATAGAGGGTTCTGTAGCCATATGTACACCGTTCAAAGGGATCCTACCTTTCTCTACTGTCTATCTCCTTTCCATCCTTCTCCCCCTTTTTCCTTACCCTCTTTTCCACCAGCTAAACACCTTGTGTACAGTCGAAGTCTTTCTTGTATGTATGTATGTTTTTGATGTAGAATTTGTGTGATATTAAATAGCAGTGTGAGTATTTTTATTTTATAATTGTAAAGAAAAAATCAAAATTTTCAATCATTTGAAATGGATTATGGAAGAATTTTTTTTATTTCAGCTAGACAATATGTTCCTTAGACTCAATATGTTCTTAATAGACTTCTTCAGGAGAAACTTGAATTTTACAAATTAAAAAGAACAAAGCTACTACTTATTCTATAACAGTTTACATTTTGTTTTTGGAATAAGACAAATTTTAAAAATGTGCTAATCAGACTTTTACATATTAATTAATTTTGGCGTGGTAGTCAATATATTGTTTACTAAATGGAATATTATGATAAGTGACAAAAAGAAAACTTTGTAAAAACTGCTGGTTTTATATTACAATATATATACATTTTAGTTTTTATAGTTTTGTTTTTTGTCACTTATTGTGATATTCCATTTAACATGTAAAAGTCCAACATGTGCATTTTTAAAATTTTCTTTATTCCAGAACAATGTTGGTAAACTATTATAGAATAAGTGGTAGCTTTGTTCTTTTTAAATTGTGAAATTCAAATATCTCCTGAAGAAGTATATTAAGAAGACTGAAAACATTAGATTGATAAATATTTACTGTATAGTAAAATTGTTTTATTTTTTTAGAGATTTTAATGTAGTGACAAATATTTTTGTCTAATTCCTAAGCCATCATCAGATCTATGGATCTTGTGACCATATACATAAGATATGATTATTTTTTTTATTGCCAGAAAAGAAGTAAAGGTTTTACTTGTTAAAAGAATATCTGGTAGACAGCTATCTTCAGATCTGTCTATGGCCACTAGTTTGCTGTGAAACTAACTTTCATAACAAACTGTTTACAAAAGGTTTTAGGCAAATGGTCTTTTTGCTAGATGTTCAGTATATTACATTCCATTTATCCGTAGAAGAGTTCATTCAAGATGGTGTCAAGAATATTTCTCCATTCATTCAAAATTCAATGCCAATATTCTGTTTAGTGACAAGTCCAGGTACAGTCAACAAAATGATTCTTGTTGAATTAGAATCTGGAGAGAATGGAGAACCCAATAAAGTCTCATGAATATTTTAGAAAGACTAGTTTGCAGGTTATAGTATCATGGTTTAGGCAGCAATTTGCTTCTTGGCTACATTGAGCTATACATTTTTACAATGGATGCTATTACTGCAAGAAGGTACAGAGATAAGGTTTGGAAACTTTTCTGAGATGTGGGTGCAATTTTATTTTTATGGATGATAATGCTTGTGCTGTTAGGGATGCATTTTGTCAATGACTTTTGGCAGTTAAGATATTCATTGCATGGAATGGCCAGCAGGATTTCCAGATCTAAATCCTATAGAACTTATGTGGGATAGATTGACAAGTTGCATTCCATCAACTCCTACAAAAACACTCTAATAGCTGCAAAACAATCTTGTCCAAGAATGGACTTGGCTCCTAAAGAGCTAATAAAGTTATAACCTGTATGAGCAATACTGTACTGTACATCTTATGTGAACAAAAGAAGAAACCATGCATTATGACATAAGCATTTTTTGTGCAGAAAGATTTATGACAGTGCTTAGTACTTTTCGTTTTTGGTTTGATGTAATTTAGATTAAATTTTTGTTTTTCAATTTGTTTGTTGCATAGATACAAAACTCTGCTTTTATATTAAATTTTTTGCTATTCTGATTGATAGTTTGAGATATAGAGCTTATATTTTGGACATAAGGAGAATATATAGAGTGGTCACAAATCATCTGTACCCTTTTTAAAATAAAATGTAGTGAGTTTCATCAAAACTCTCAAAAACTGATAAGTAAATGAGATATGCTCTACCAAATGGTGATATTTTAATTTCTGATACTGTCTGAAATAGGCTGTGAGAATCCAATATATCGTCATATCGTCATACTTATTCGGTAATTGTTATTGAATCTACTACCTGAGAAAATCTCCATCTACACTTTCTCAATGGCAAAAACGACGCATTCCTGTGATCTGCTGACCTCTTAGCTGGGCGATATCATGCTGATATCGAAATTGATAGTCAGAGTCAGTTGTAACCCGTTCCTCTTGGATTAAAGTCATCAAAAATTTCTCTGTGCCTGTGCCAAATTTTACTCATTTGGATTTCACCCTCGACCAATGGCATCGGTGAGGACAAACAAACCTTCCCGACAATCTTGACCCAGACTCCTGATCCAGAATCTTCTGAAACCTTTTCAGAACGATAATGGACTCCTTAGTCTCAAAGAAAATCTCAACAAAATCTATCATCACCCTGTGGACATCCTCTTCTCCAGATATTTATCGACTCACAAACCACTGTAAACTCTCTCAAGAACCATCAAAATATCTAGACTTATTTTAACTTGATTTATTATAACTCGTTAATGCTATAAATTGTGTACAATGTATTTTCCTTTACAAATAAATGGTTGTTTAGTTAATCTGGCATCTGAGTGATTCACTTCCAGTACACCGTCTCTCAACCCTCCTCCATCCCAAATCCAATCACCCACTTGTGTGACCAATGTTCTAATACTGAATGAACATGCCGTCTCGGCTTCCGTGCCAATTGGGACCCGGTGGTGTCAGTCCTAACAAGGTGTTAAAGAGGTGCCAACCCTCTGGTCACATGGGCCATCCAAGTCAAGTCAAATTTTTTAATTGAAATATGATATTTTTTCAATTTAGATTCAAATTAAATATAAAGAAATAATACAATTGTGTCTCAAACATTTTTTCTGAAAATTCCTCCATTGATGATAAAATGATCTTGAAAGTGAAACTCTTCTATGCGAAATCTTATCATAAGCCATTTTGTTATTTTCAGATGGCTGAAAAATAGCAGGATGAAACATGTTAGTTTGAACATTTTGATTAAACAACAGTTAAAATCAGTGCCAAGTAGATTACAGTAATACCCCGAACTTACGCAATAGGTGGGACCGAGTGATAACCATGTAAGTCAAATTCGCGTAGGTCAGGGTATAATTTCGCAATTCGTGTAAAATCCAAGTCGGATGTATGTAAGCTAATAAATGTTCTCGTTAATCTTATCTCGTCTTTTGATTTGTTCACGGTTACAAGAAATCATCACATAGAGTCTCTCAAGTCTCCGTAGATATAACAAAAACAGAAATAAATAACACAAAATAAATTGTAGCTATGTGTTGATTCCACACAACACGTCCTAACATGTAAGCCAAACAATAGTGTGGGGGGAGTGAGTAATCAAAAGTTGCGTGGCACTCAAACAAAAGACGAATCAACGAGATTCAAAAATCGCGTAACTTCGGGGTAGCGTAAGTCGAGGTATTACTGTATATCAGAAGAATTTACATAAAAATACTATGTATCAATGGTAACAGTTTTTATTAATTTAACCAATATTTATTTTGTTTTTCCTAAATCAAGGATATGTTAATAAAAATATTTTGTAACAAGCTATTTCGTTATTTTGATGTTATCATTTTTCTTCATGAATCACACTTTTGTGATCATTTGGAGACATTTTTAGAAAAAAATGTGAGAGACAATTGTCTTATTTTTTTTACATTTAATTTGAATCTAAATTAAAAAATACTATGTTTCATTTAGAAAATTGACTTTCAGTCCAGATAGCCCATTTCTGGTCAATATAAGAAGTTGAAAATATCTGGTATTGACTGATGTTTTCAACTTCTGTGGCCTATTAGACTAGACTGAAAATGTTAACAAAATAAAAAGCAAATCCCAGCAGCCTAAAAAAGGTAAATGTTGTTAATTTATTTTGAATTATTCTGCTGAGATTGAATATGATGGTTGAAAATATCATTTGGTAGAGTGTATTTCATTTACTTACAGAAATTTTTGGGGTTTTTGATGAAACTTACTTCTCTTTGTTTAAAAGGAGTTTGTGGGTGATCTATGACACTGTATATGCTTCTTGATATAAAATTATGAATTTTTTAATCTCTGAGCCAAACGATTACCAGATTAAATTGGGCTACATTACCTCCTCTACTAATAATTATTAAATACTGAGTAATTTGGCACTAGAGGTAGACATTAGGCACCTTCTTTTATTAACTTTAATAATTATAATATAATTAATATTTATTAAATAATTTATAAATTTTTTAATCTCATATAAATGTGATACCAAACATTATAACATTATTTTATTTGTTATTTTAATTAAAATATTATATGAAATTATATTTTGATTTTATTGGTGGAAATATATCGATATATTATTTTATTTACATTTATCTTATAGATTATTTTAATTAAGAAATTGTTAAATCCGATAATATTGTAAATTAACTATAAATAACCATAAAATCTGTCAAAATTTTAATATATTTTTTTAAAAGATGATTTATTTTATTTTATTTTTTCAGGGTGTAAATACAAGTCATCCGATATTGCAAATTGATAATTATTTCTTTTCTGGAGAATATGAAGATACTATTGGAACAGATGTTATATTTGAAGAAGTTTCTGTACCAAGTATATTTTCTAAATTATTTTTTGTGATTTAAATTTAGATTTTAGTATATTGACAAAAGTATTATTTGTATTGTAATGTAATTTTTCCTATAAAATATTTTTTGTTTCATTAATAAATTAAATTTTATTCATTTAAGTAATGGTCTATTTTTCTATTTGTATTTTTAGATACTATTTTTTATACAAGTACTCATTATATACAAGGGTGAATCAAAACAAATTGAGGACTGATTCTTCCCTCTCTTGATAAACATTTTTGAGCATAGTGTCTGCAGTGTTTTTCTCTTCTCAGTGAAATTTGATGTACTTCTGCCTACCCTGAAGATTTGTGGTAGCCCATCTGTTGACATGTTCTTCAGAATTTGGTGCTGGGAATAGTAAAAAGTGACAGGGTGCTAAATCTTGGTTATATGATGGATGTGGGATGTATCAAATGTTTATCTTGGCCAAAAACTCAATCATCATGTTAGCAATGTGTGGAGGTGCATTGTCATTGTGTAGCAATGGAGATTGGGACATTTCATGTGGATGTGACCAAACAGTATGTACAGAATCATCTGGTGACTGTTGTATGTGGTAGCACAATATCTTTAGTCAGGATTTTTACAGGAGTATTGTTTTCTTTGATGTTGATTCCCAGTCTTCAAAGAATGCCTTGACTCATTGAAATGCTATGTGAAATGCTTTGTGAATATGCAAGTGAAAGCAAAGTTTCAATGTACATATTGTTCATCATAATCACTCTCTATTTTGTTGTAGGTGGGCAGCAGATGACATTTTGCACTGTGTACTGTAGTGGCAAATCATATATCCATACAATTCTTGGACAGATTTATGAATAACCATTCTTTACAGTGATATACATCTGAAATTTCTTAGTGTTAGAATTTTGACAGAAAAATAATTGGTCTGTTTCTTTTGACTCACTCTTGTATGCTAATTTTTATTCTGCAAATGATTATCAGAGGTAGCATAAATCAAAAGTATTTGCTTATTACTAATAATTTCTTAAATATTTTCATTTATATAAGTTACTCAGATATAAAAAGTTGCCTTATGATATAACATATGAAAATATTTGAAAAAATATTTTTATAATTGTATGTCAACTATTAATAATTTTATCAAAAAGCATTGGAATGGAAATAGATTAATTATGTTGTTTAATGATTTGGGAATTTGTGTTATAAATAAATATATTATTTATCGTACAAACTAACTTCATTCATTGACTGTTAAATTCAAACAACACCAAATGCAAATAGGGTTGGCTTCTAGAATGTTTGTTAACATTTTGTGTCATCCAGATTTAACAGGTAAATAGGTTGCTAGCTGTCAATAACCTAATAAAAAATTTAATAATGACATTTTAAATCTTTTTAATCAAAATATTAATAATTTACACTACCAAATGAATTATAAAATGCCATTGTTAAATTTAGTAATAAAAGATTATCAAACAGGTTGTATTTAAAGCAAAAATCTACTATAATACATATGCCCATTTAAACTACACTTCAAGTAGAAAAGATATTTAGACCCAGATAACGTATATCAAATATATGTCAAATAATTTGTTTTATTTTTAAGAAATAAATCATCAAATTTGCAAAATTCAGTATCATCTGAAACAAGGTAAAGATATTGCTGGATTAAGCGATTTAAATGGTTCAAACAAATATATTGATTTATTTGAATGGTTGACTGTACACCAATGCTTTACTTTGTGTTGAGGATGCATTTCTACAAAACATGACACAATTGAAACAATGGAAATAAAAATAGAATTTTTCAATGGAAAGCATTCAGATATTGGCAAGAGGTTCCAAAACTAGAATTTTCAGGAAAGATAGTTTTAAGAAAATAAAATTTGTGTAAAAAAAATGTTGATATATATTGAAAAATTACTACTTTTCAGCTTATAAATATAACTACTGCTTTCACAAATGCAATCATTTAAAATTTTTACCTATAAATAAATTATAAGGGCTGTTTTTTTTCAAGCTCTGATGGACCATAAAAAAAAGACAAGTGTAAATAATGAAATGAATTTATTATCAAAAGTTAGGTACAAACATGGTTACTTTTCGACATAATCATCATGAAGATTGAGGCATTTGTCTTATCTGTGGATGAACTTTTTCATCATCTTGTCATAGAATGTTGCCGCCAATGACTTGAGGTGGGCCCTAACGTTGTTTTGAAGATCGTCATTAGTCTCGAATCTCTGCCTTCCTAGCCACTTTTTCTGTTCAGGAAAGAAGTGGAAGTCAATCATGACTGTATGCTGTGTGTTTAAAGGTGATGAAGAGGACTTTCACCTTTCAGACTTCTACCCAGCTTGGAACTTTTTAATGTGTGAAGACTTCCACTTCTTTCCTGAACTGAAAACGTGGCTAGCAGGGCACTAATGACTAATGATGATCTTCAAAACAAGGTTGTTAAGGCCATCTCAACATTCTATGACAAGGGGATGGAAAAGCTCGTTCACAGATATGACAAATGCTTCAATCTTCACGATGATTATGTCGGAAAGTAACCATGTTTGTACCTAACTTTTGATAATAAATTCATTTCATTATTTACACTTGTCTTTGTTTTATGGACCATCGAATCTTGAAAAAAAACAGCCTACATAGTTTTTAATATTTTTGAGAAACCAATTTCTATCTCTAAATCTTCAGTTTGATATGTGTTTATATTCTTTTTTTCTTAAAATACTTACTTAGAGTATATTGAACAGCTTCTGTTTTTTTGACTAAGTAAATTTCCTTACAGCAATTGATATCATGTCATTTAGATTATGCTACTTTTAAACTTCTTTCTATTAATATGTTGAAATCATTGTTTGTAAAAGAGTCAATAGCTTTGTCAATTAAATGTAATACTTTAGAAAGTCATTTACTTTTAAAGTTGGCTTAGTAGGAATTTCTTTCAAAGTGTCTATGAATCCAGCTACAATAATTTTTTGCTACTGATTTCCTCTGTACATAAGGCAAGAAAGAAAGTTACCTTTGTTTGATCTTTGTTTTATTTTTTAGATGGATGTGTGAACTGTACATTAGGATTTATAAATAAATTAATTCTAATTGTTCACACCACTTTAAGTTGTTTTTATCTTTGATAATTTGGTTATACAGTAGAGCGTCAATTATCTGAAAGTCAATTATCCGAAAGAATTCCAGTCGGCAAATTTAAATTTTTGCCAGTGCTGTGGCACTGCAATCTTTGGCTATGTCTTGGGCTACTCAAATATTTTATGTTTTTGATACTAAATTAACTTCTGAAGTATAATTTTTTATTGTTTTTATATTTTTCAATATATTTATTTTATTTGTACAAAATAAAAAAATAATTTTTAACGATACAATAGTCTTCGTTAGGCTTAACATCGACGAAAATTCAACG